TGTGAAAACACAAGAGGCATTTCAGCAACTCATCACACAACTAATTTACCACCCATTCACGACCCCGCCGCAACGTAATGTGTAGGCTCTGGTAGGTTGCGCATGAGATCACGGCTAGTGTGACATCACCACACTCAAGTACAAACAGATAACAGTCACAGCTGACTGTCCACAGTGCGTGGACCTGCAAGAAGACCACACTTTTCTCGGGCCATTATCTCCGTAACCGTTCAACTTTGGACATAGGTGTTTTGGGTTATATCGGCATACTTTAACATAAGGAACACCCTCCCGAAGTTTGGTCCATTCCTCCTGGGACACCCTGTATATGTACATGCATACATGCATACATAACATGGGGGCATGCGGTAGTGTAGTTGATTGAGGCACTGTGCTACAAACTGAAAGATCGTGGGATCAAATCCTGATGAGTTGGATTTTTTCAAATTACCTAATCCTTCCAGCCACACCATGGACCTGGGGTTAACTCACAGAAATTTGTACCATGAGTATTCTTGGAATAAAGGGTGGCCGGCACATAACGCTGACAACCTCACTGTCGTCTGTGAACCGTTTATCTAGAAAATGTAGGAGTCTCAGCATCTCAGCCCTGTGGGCCTCCATGACCTGTAACATACCTTTACCTTCTTTATGTGTGTATGTATGTATATATATTATACATGAACACAAACTATGGGGCACACTCGCATAGTTAGTTGAGGCACTACGGTGCGAGCCAGAAGGTCGCAGGTTCAATTTCCGCCGAGGTCAGTGTATTTTTTCAATTGACCTGAACCTTCGGTTGCACTATTGCTGTGTGGTGAACTGAACCTCTTAACAAATGAGTACCAGGAATCTTCCCCAGGGGTAAAGGACAGCTGGTACATAATGCTGACTTCTGCCATCTGTGAGCCAGTTGCCTCGACATCTCTCAACTTGATGGGCCATCATGGCCTGTTACAGGGTTAGCTTCCCCCTTTTTTATGTATAACTACAGTGACTAAATCCATGGTACAGTGTGTTGAGCAAGTTGGCAGTTACATTGGTTAGCAGGGATGTTTCTGCTGTAGAAATTAGAATGTTCTCAAAGTTTTGAGGTGCATGGACTTCTTCAAATCAAAGTCAGTGCTGTGTGGTCTCTCTGACTTGTATGGCTAGACATGTATAAATTCTTTGCTAGTTCTTGATGCAGATTGTATGATTGTTGAAGTCACTAGTTCACTATGTCGTCAGTAATGTATCTGCACCTGAAACCAAATGTGTGTTATGCTTTGGTGGTTTGCTGGACAGTTAGTTGTTCTTGTGTTCTGAATTTCTGGGTATATTTTGTATGATCTCATTGTGCAGGAGACGGGAGGTAAGCTGGAAGTGAAGGAGCCCCCCCCACGTGAAGAGCCTCATGTTGAGCCTGTTAATGGGGTGGTGCAACCTCCTGTGGTCCCACAGCCAGACCGGCCTGGCCGTATCACCAACCAGATCCAATTCTTGCAGAAGAATGTCGTGAAGGCAGTATGGAAACATCAGTTTGCCTGGCCGTTCCACCAGCCAGTGGATGCTAAGAAATTAAACTTGCCTGTGAGTGCCTGTATATTTTGAGATGTTTGCTGCAGTTTACTTTTAAGGGAAGGTAATATACAAGGGGCAGTCAAAAAGTTCCTGGAATGTTGGTATTGCACTATAATGGTATGACTTATGGCAGCCTTAAGAAATCACTTTCAAAATAGGACCCTTGTGCAGATGCACACTTGCTCCATTGATCCTGCCATTGTTGGAAGCACCGGTAGAGGTCTTCTTTTGGAATCTTCTGGAGTTCAGCCGTTTCATTGGATTTAATATCCTCCATGGTTGCAAAATGTGTCCCCCTGAAGCTCATTTTCAGAGCAAGGAACAGCCAAAAGTCATTTGGAGGGAGATTGGAGATTTCAGTGGTTTGGTGATGACAAGAATGTTTTTCTTGGTGAGGAATTGCTGCGCAGGTGACGTATGGCTTGGTGGGTTATCGTGATGCAGAAACCACTGTCCCTGCCACTTGTCGCATTGCGCAACCTCTGCAAAACTTGCATATTGTCAAGGCTGTACAAACTCTTGGTGCACTAAGTCGTTGATGTCAAAGATTGCAATGAACATCACTGTTTCCTTAGATCTGATGAGGTGTGATTTCTTTGGCCAGGGAGATGACACTGTGTGCCACTCTTATGACCGGATGTTTGTCTCTGGGTCGTAGGCAAACACCACTGACCATCTTTCTGAGAAGTGTCAGGTCCTGCATACTTTTCTCAAACAGATCTCCAACGACCATCATGTGACATTCCATCTGATCCATGGTCAGCTACCATGGAACAAACTCTGCAGTGACACACATCATCATCTTGCTCGAACTCCGTGATGGTCATCCTTCGATCAGATTGAATCGGTTGTCACACTTTTTCAACCATTTCTTCGGTTCTGAATGTCGAAGGCCTCCCACTGTGCTGGTCATCCTCCAGTGACTCCTGTTGATTCTTGGGAAAAACAGTTGTAAACTGCGAATTTCTTTAGTGCAGTATCAGCAGCATTTCTGAAGCAGATTTTCCCAATTGGAACATGAACTTGATGTCTGCATGCTGTTTGAACTGTAACATTGCACCAAATGACAAATGCTCGTCTAATTCAAATGGAACAGTAATGACACTGCATGATGAAACCTGTACAGACCTGTTGCCCCTGTGAGACGGCATGCTGAGCTTCTCACCTCTCTCTCCATCTGTAGGGGAATTCTGGGAACTTTTTGACTGCCCCATTGTACATATAACATTTATTGGATTACAATTTTGTCTTGTAGGATTACCATAAAATTATTAAACAGCCCATGGATCTTGGTACAATAAAAAAACGTTTGGAGAACAACTATTATTGGAGCGCCAAGGAATGCATTCAGGATTTCAACACAATGTTCACAAACTGCTATGTGTACAACAAGCCTGGTGAAGATGTTGTTGTCATGGCACAGACCCTGGAGAAACTGTTCCTCACAAAGGTATGAATGCATGAAGTGCAATACTGTGAAAATATGCTGGAGTTTGGTAGTGTACTGTGATTGTAATTGTTTTATGCCTGTTAAGGTGGCAGGAATGTTCAAAGAGGAAATCGAGCTGGACCCACCACCTCCAAAAGGTCCAAAAGGGAAGAAGGGACGCAGCAATTTGGGGGGTGCAGGCGGAGGGCAGCGAGGGCGCCCCTCATCCAGTAGCAGCAATAGTGGTGGCGGTGCAGTGACATCAAGTGTACCCAATGCTGTTGGGGCATCTCCCAGCTCTGTGGTTCAGTCATCTCCTGCAGCTCCTGTTGCCACAATGACAGGTTCTGGTCATCTCCCTCTGGGCACTCAGCCCCCTACAACAGTGCCAGGGAGTACTGCCACCACCACTGTTCCCACTCCAGGATCTGGGGCCCTGTCACATGGCACCCACAACTCGCTCCCACAGCAGGTAGATGGATAGTTCTGTTTTCAGCATATCTTGTGCTGTTTGTGCAGGCATCCAAGGAAGGTGTCAGGGGTTCATGGTGTTGTCCTAATAAAGAATGTCTTTCATATAGCCCCATTGGAAGAAATCCAGTGGAAACAAGTTGGGCGATCGTGGGACCAAGGGAATGGATCCGGCACACATGATTCAGCGGTTGGGGAATCGATGGTCTAAAAATGTACGTAAGAGTGAAGTTTCCTTGGATGCCTGTTAGTCACAGCTGTGGTTTGAGTAGGTCAGAGTAATGTGTTTGTTGCAGGTTGCCCCTCCAACTGGAGGCTACCATGCACAGCCGGCACTCATGTCACAGACAGTGGACGGCCAGGCACCTCCTGCAGGCACCATGCATAGTCAGAGTGTGCCACCCCCAGTCATGCCCCCCGCTCAGCCAGCCAAGGTAAGGCACATGTAATTACAGAGGGCAACAGTAATCTTGTTGGGCCTGTTGAGTTCCTGGACTGTAATGAAATCTGCAGCAGAAAGCACATTGCCTTGAGAATATGGCAGCAACTGTGTTTGTGAGCCAGCATGCCTACAAAGACTGTCATTAGAACAGGCCGGAATGAAGCCAGGATTTTGCAAATTGAAACTAGCAACAGGAGGTATAGGAAGTATAAGAATTAGTCTGCATGGCATGTTTGGTAAATTTGATTAACCAGCCCATTGTGGATGTTTGCTGTGTGAATTTTCCTTATCAGCCAGAGATCGAAATCTGAAGGGAAGGTTGATACAGTGTAGCAGGCTCTTCATGTGTATATAATGGTTTTTGTTTGGAGGTTCCCACTTTTGATCCATAGATAGCGCCAGCAATTCATAGGCACTGATTTTTTTTTTATATTTTAGTACATATACATAAAAGTGCCAAGTAATTAAAGTTTGGGTTTTGGGCGAATATACTATGTCAGGGAGTCCACATACTTTGGATCGTGGACTCTCTGAAAGGAGGATTAATGGCCAAGAAATGGAGGTAAATACCGTAAAGGAGAAATGAATGATGTAGCTGGGGAAGAAGTGGTGGAAGATGGACTGCGCAAATGTAAAGAATAAGGTTATCAAACTAAAGAGGAGGGTTGTGAGAGAGAGAGGATCTGAATTTTCATCAGATGAGGAACTCAGGGCACTGAAAAAAAAAATCTTAAACGAACGTATAAAGCAGAGTAGTAATAAAAACTGAAATATAAGTAAGTCACAGAATCACAGCTGAGCCAAGCTGAGACTAGAACAGGTAGAGTCTGAAGCACAAAGCCTGGGAAATGAAGTTGGAAGTTACAAATAGCAGGCTCTGGCCTGCTACCTGCTGGCCCATTTCCACTGACCCTACCCCTCTCCCCTCTATTGATTTCCCATGTGGTCCCCCTCCCTCCCCTTCCTCTTCTTATATAGCTGGGTGTTTTTGACTGGCACTCAGTCTGCAGCCACCTGCTCACGCTGGTTCCTCGCTCATGGATTTCTTATACCCTGAAGATGATACGTTGTTCTGAGACGTCTGTTAACACTATCTACACGGCACCACATCCCAGAAGATGGCATTCTTCAAGTTATAAGTAAATTCAGCGACTGATATGCTCAGACCAACCAGAATGGAAGGGAAGATTTGGGAGAACGTTTCAAGATCAATTGAAGAGGGAAAAATAATGACCTATGGTTTAAAATTTATGAAATGGGGCCATTCAGCATCCACCTGAAAGTCAAGAGGCCTGCAACTCTCATTAGTGGAAAGAAAGAGGGCTAAATCTAAGACTTGTTTCCAATCAGTTAGACTGTATGCTTGGTTTATTTGGGAAATGATCTCAGAGAGAAAGGAAAAGGAAATTAAGTTTTGGACAGACCTATTGTTCAAAATAAAGGGCCAACTGCATGCATTCCGAGACACATTGTTACTAAATCAGAGTCCTTAAAGATACGCCTGAGGATATGGAGTTAGAAAATATGACTTGGGAGTCAAAGGGACAAATGAAGAAAGGCGGGTGTGGAAAGAGTCGAAGGTAGTATGTTTTTCTTTTTACGTTTGGAACTAAGGAATTTCCCCCTCATGTAAATTTCTGCAATACAAAAATTTTAAGTTTCTACTTTTGTTGCAGCAGTATGACAGTATTACAAATGTGGGGAATTTGGCCACATCAGTAAATTTTGTACAAAGGAAGAGCAATGCTTCTCGTATGCAGAAGCAAAACAGGAAGTAGATTGTTAAAGAAAATGCCTAAATTGTAATGGTAATCACAGAGCAAACAGCAAGCAATGCGCAGTAACTAAAAAAACACAAGGAAATAAATTTCTGCAATACAAAAATTTTAAGTTTCTACTTTTGTTGCAGCAGTATGACAGTATTACAAATGTGGGGAATTTGGCTACATCAGTAAATTTTGTACAAAGGAAGAGCATTGCTTCTCATATGCAGAAGCAAAACAGGAAGTAGATTGTTAAAGAAAATGCCTAAATTGTAATGGTAATCACAGAGCAAACAGCAAGCAATGCCCAGTAACTAAAAAAACAGAAGGAAATAAACCAGATCATGGCTCATAGAAATGTCAGATTTTTGGAAGCATGGAGAATTGGTGGAAAATGGTTACAACCCTGGCAGTTGAACCCTGCAAGTGAAACATGCTTCAGCAGAAAAGAATGTCAGTTGTGGGTTGATGTGAACTTAGATGACTGACTGTAGAAACCAGCTGCAAAAAACGAACCCTGCTAGCTGATTCCTGAGGCTGCAAGATTTGGATTACTGTTTTTATAGGGTCTAAGCTTCAGCAATTGTGTTGCTGTTCTTGCATTAGACTTTGATGCTCTAGTCTCTTGAGCTAGACGTTTCAGCGTTTTTCTAGGCGTACATTCAAGTGTTGCCCCTATGTCATCTAAGTTCTCCTCAGTAAGCACTTAGTAAGCTTATGTTTTGTTTTCTTGTCTAATGAAAGAGTCCTGTTCTAAGTTTATTCACCAAATTATGAAATGTTTATCTGCTGGGAACTCTTTCATTGCAGAATTTTTACCGATACGTTTTTCACATAGGTGACAATACACGTTGCTCCAAAGTATAGCAAATCATGTCATGCCACACTGCTGACTGTTAAGTGGAAAATGGCTCACGGTGTTAAACAAATCATAAACTCCGTGCATGAACCCCCACTGCCTGCTGTGTAGAGGTCTACAATATTTTCATTCATTCCAAACGTTATCAGCCATCAAGCATGCCGAGTCATCGGCAGAACTCGTCTATGCTTAACAGCCAGTGATGCTCCAGTCATGGTGAAGTGCAGAGCCGTGGACTTGTCTGTAGCTTAAAAAATATCACTGTAGTTAATAGTTAATTAGGTGACTTGGTTTGTGTAAGTCAGTTATTCTTCCACCTACCTGATAAAGGCCTGTGAAAGACCCTGAAAAGCGTTGAAAGCTCTCCACTGAAGGAGAAAGGTTCTCAACCCAAAGCTGTTCAACGAGAGGAAGTAAAGTTCCACAACAAAGGGAAAAAAAGCTTCTTGGCTCTGTGTATATTCCCAGAGCAAAGGGCATTTCTGAAAAGTTCAAAGATGTGGGGAATTATTACAACATTAGGACAATCTTCAAAACAAAACACATTTCATAGTTCACTCATGAGAACCACACAGGAAGGAAATCTGCAACATGTGCCACTTAGCACCTATAGCATTCTCTGGTAATCTGTATTGGCAAAGCATGTAGACTGCTAGCTGTGCACGTCTGCAAAACATAGGCACGGTCTTATTGAGGGTCTGCTAGAGATGTAAAGTGTAGCCCAGTATGCCCATGAAGGTCATGGGTAGGATGGGAGGAAGCCAGAGTTGTGGAAATTGAAAGTAACAGCAAGTATAGAAGGTACAAGGAATCTACCTAGATGGTGTGTTTTAACAAATACAGTCAGCCAATCTAGTTAGGAGAGTTCTCTTAAATGGATCCCCTTATCGCCAAGGTGGTTCAGCAACTTCATAGCAAAGATCACTATCATCTGGCAGACTCTTCATGAGTATATTGTGACATGTCCGCTCAGAGCCAAAAGAGGCTGCTGTTGCTAGGGAACAGCACAGTAAACATGTTTCTGTTGCAGTGAAAACAAATGTGACAAAAGAGGGACTATTGTGGGGATGGTGTTTCCTATGCAGTTTGTGCCTTGGCAATATATGGAGGCCAGCTGGCTAAGCCAGAGTGGTCCACAGACATTCTTCAATCAGTCCGAGTCTGAGGTGGTTGTGAGTGAACCCCTGGCAGAGGTGTGGGCTTGGAGGTGGAGGAATCCCCCCATTGTTGGAAACCTTTGCAAAACAACAGTCAATGAAGACAGTAACAAAGCAGTGTCTAGTGAATCTGCGAATAACTGACAACAGTACTAGTGTTGTGTACTGGAGATTTGTAAGAATTCATTCATTCATCAGTAATCTGACAGACGACAGGTCCACAGTCTCTTCCAAAACAGTTCCTCCACTTGCTGCACTCTAAAGCTTTCTCCTTCAAATGAAAATATCCTCTTCTGTCCCCAAGGTTATCCAGCATCTTCTTGCATCTTCTTCCTCATCTTCTGGTCACTTCTATCCGCCCCTCTACCTTTCCTTCAATAACTTCTTTTAGAAGGCAGTTACCGCGTAAGATATGACCAATCCAATTAGCCTTCCGTATTCTTATTTCATGTAGGATATTCCTCTGCTCACTGTGCAAATTACCAGTCCAAACTCCGTGTCTAAGTCAGTAGACATGTGGCAATGTGATTTCTGTTTTGAGGTTCAGCCTTTGTTCCATAGATGAGGCTATCAATAGGTGTGTATTACATAGCACAAAAATTTTCATCAAAGTTGGTATGGCTGCATTTAGTAGCTACTTAGTTGACTGATTTCCTTTTCTGTCAATTAGATATTCATATGTGTTTCCACAGTTTTCGTTGCCCAGAAACTCTTAAGCGTTAGGTGTGATACACCTTTTGTGAGAGTCATTTTAGAATTGACTGACTAAATACTGTGTGTATTTTTAGGTGAAAAAGGGAGTGAAAAGAAAGGCTGACACTACAACACCAACTGCAAATTCTTTTGACCCACTATTTACACCTATGGAATCAAAATCTGCTAAGATCTCAACGCGGAGAGAGTCCGGGCGGCAGATCAAGAAGGTTGGTACGCTTGTGTCGCACCATCTTGTGAAGTATATAGTTGTGTATTCTGCTTCCTGCTTGTTAGCTGTAGTAAGTAGTTTAGACCAGGCCTAACTGCATGAGGCCACTTCTTGATGATTTGTACTTCTATGATGAAGTAGTTAGAATTGGGTGGTGTGATCCCATTGCAGCCTCAGCGGCAGACAGAGGATGGTCTCCCGTTCCACCAGGCAACACTACCCCTCATGTCCTCCGGGCTGAGCAGTCAGGTATGTTTACACTGAGTTACTTCAATTCCCTCCTGATAAGACTGCTCTGTCCAAAAAGTATCCGACCTTGGGCCAGGAAAAAAAAGTTGTGTATCTGGGTGGTTACAATACCACATCATCTTCAAAGTAGGCCCCTTGTGACTCAACACACTTAGCCCAGCGGTCCTTCCATCACTGGAAGCAATTCTGGAAGGCTTCTTTTGGAATGACGTGCATTTGCGCCGTCACGTTCTGTATGATGTCCTCGCAGCTGTCAAAGCAGCAGCCTTTTAGCGTTGTCTTCAATCTCGGGAACAGCCAGAAATCACAAGGAGCCATATCAGGAGAGTAGGGAGCCTGGCGAACCTGCGGAATGCCGTGCTTGGCCTGGAAACCCTGGGTCAGGTGTGATGAATGAGCTGGGGCGTTGTCATGATGCAGCTGCCAGTTGCGTGTGTCCCACAGCTCCGGTCTCTTGCGCCGAACTGCATCACGAAGATGGTGGAGGACTTCTTGGTAGTACTGCTTATTGACAGTCTGGCCTAGTGGTGCGCACTCATGATGCAAAACACTCCGGTAATCGAAAAAACAGTCAGTATCACCTTCACATTCCTCCAAACCTGTCGTGCTCTTTTGGGCCTCGGGGATGTTAGATGCTTCCATTGTGACGCCTGGACCTGTCCTGCGCGACCTCAAGGCGGAGATGTTGCTGATCCGGCGAAAGCAGCTTGGGCACAAATTTTGCCGCCACTCTTCGCATGCCCAAATCCTCAGTTAAAATTGTGTTTGTGGAACCTCTGCTGATCCCAACCTCATCAGCAACTTCATGGATGGCCAAACGATGGCCCTCCATGGTCACTGTCTGCACTTTTTCAATGACATTAGCATTGACAGTCTCCCGGAATTATGCTCACTGTCCGCCGACATATGGCCATGTTTAAAGCAGTTGAACCACTCTTTAATGAGTGACCCCCATTGCATCATCGCCGGAAGCCTGCTGAATTTTGCGAATTGTTTCTGCTTGGGTATCCCCAAGTTTCTGGACAAAACTTAATGCAGTATTGCTGCTCCAAGTGTTCTGTCATCTTGAGCGAAACGAGACTGCGACGAACACGCGTTACACCACTTCGCTATCTGGCAGCCACAGATGCTTCTGGCAGTGTTGCGAGTCAGCAAAAAATCATGTATGCGCATGAAAGTCCCTTCTACCAGTACGCTCAGTTTCCTCACCCCTTTGGCCATTACTTAAGCGGAAAAAAATAAAGTCTGATACTTTTTGGACATAATAACATTTGTTGTATGAGGGTTCATTCACAATGGTTATTTGAGGTGTAATGACAAGTGGGCTTGTACTAACTTTCTGTGTCTCTGCTCACTCAGAATATTCTTATTATAAATGAAATGGTAACATTCCTGTGGTGATTATTATCCCATCAGGAGTAGTTTGCCGTAGGATCACCTTAGCTTAATGTTCAACAAAGGGTACAAATTACGAAAGACCTGCATATGAAGTTAAATTATTTTGTCTCAGGTCAAAATGCCCACAGCTTTTTCAGATACCATCTGTGTTGTTCCCTTACAGTGAGGGACCAAGTTCCACACTAACGTAAAGTAGTTAGTAAGATCATACTGAGGATAGATACCTCGTAAGATTTCCAAGGTACCAAGAAATATAGCTTCTTAAGTAGGAAAGCATCAAGTGGATTGATTGTATATTGAAATGAAAGAAGAGGCTATAATTTTGTAGGATTTTATTCATGCTGGTTTCTTGCTTGGCATCTTTTTGACCCTGAAGATGGCGGTGACTTGTGCTTCTGAAATGTCAGTTAACTTTCAGTGAACTGTGTGGCTTTATATCCTGGAAGATAGAACTCTTCAGGCTAAAATTCATCAGTGTTTTGATGAAAATCAGTCTTCCCAAACATTTACTTTGCAGAGCCCTTCTTCATTGCTTTATGCCACAGAAGACAGCATTGTTACTCAGAACAAGTTGCATTGAATACTTTCTTTGGGTAACAGTTGCTCAGAAGAGATTGAAGCCTGAATGTCTTTGTATTCACTTTTTGATTTCTGATAAAATTTGGGGGGGGGGCACCCAGTTCAAAGCTTCCTGATATTTGGAGGTGTTGGGGNAGCCCAGTTCAGAGCTTGGCTGGACAGACTGACTGACTGCTGACTGGGGATTGTCATTGTTTTCCTCAGTTTCTCCAAACAGATGTTGTAATGGTAATATTGTATCGCAGCATCCTGTTGCACATCACTTATTTATTCCTGTTATCAGCTGTCTCACATGCAGCTTGCTTCTTAAAACCCTTGAAAGTTTTAACTGTAAAAGTTTAAAATCTGTTCTACATCACGCTACATGTTTCAACCAACATTGGTTGGTCGTCTAAGATGTATCTTACATCGCTGATGGAACTGCTGTGCTTCTATCCATCAGTTCAGTTTTTGGGATATGTCCCCATCTGTGCTTCATGTGTCCTGTGGTGATGGGTAGTTCTCTTACTGTGTCGTGTATGCACACGACTAACAGATGGAAGCGCAGCAGTTTGATCAGCGGTTTTACCTAGAGATGACCAGTGTTGATCAAAACATGGAATAAATGGTAATAGTACCCCAGTTAAGGTAGGCTGTTTTCTTTCACAACTTTCCCAATTCATGTGAACTCAGTGTATAGTTTTAGGGCTATTTATTCTGCCTTTTGTCTGAATACGTGGTCTTAAATTGGAGTGTTTAGTGACTATATCAGCCTAAACCGCTCTGGGAGCACTTATTTAATTTTCCCGTATGCTTAAAAATTTTTTCTGTGTGGCAGGTGTTTTCTTGTTCACCTTAGTATTAATTAGGATTGACACTTGGTATGTTGTGATTTTCCATTGTCTCTCTGGATGTCCGATGTAGTTTAGAATCCACCTTCCTGACCTCCATTTTTTTTGGAAACTAATAATGCTTTGTATTTTGTGTTGATTTTGTAGTATAACTTTTATGTGCGATCTTCACAGTTTTGTACAGGAATAGTCTATATACTTTGTCCAACATGTGTCCACTGTTCGTGATCTGACACAGAAAGATCCTGAAACAGTCATCTTCAGCTAGTCAGAGAAAGGAAGAGTCCATCCATCCATCCATCCATCCATCCATCCATCCATTCAACTATATATAATGGATATTTTAAGAGTAAATTCATTTAGGGTTAAAGGGTATTCCAACAGGTATGCCTTGAGACCCACTCCCATACACAGTGACACTTCATGATTGTTTGCTGATTGTTGTATCTCTGGATGATCTTGAGATGTCTCATGTAGTGAGCAATTAGGAATGACAGGTGTAGTAGGCATTTTCCAGTGCTTTAAGTATTGGAGTTTTGCTGAAGTTTGTAACTGCTAGAAGTGAGGTTAAAAATAAAAAAGGATGCAGTAAAATTTGTCACCACCATTTGTGGTATTGATCAAATGTTCACAATATAATTATATAATTCATGGTATCACAATTTTTTCAAACTGCACAGAGAGGAAAATAAAGGTAAACTATCCCTGTAACAGCCCATGGAGGCCCGTAGAGTTGTGAGACACAGAGGCTCCCACATTTTCTAGACCATCAGCTCACAGGTTGCAGCGAGGTTTATCACCAGGGAGTTTCCTGGTGCTCATTTCTGTTAGGCTGCATCTACCCCAGGGCAATAGTGCAGCTGAATTAGGTCAATTGAAAAATCAGTCACCTCATTAGGAATTGAACATGTGACCTTCCAGCTTGTAGCATAGTGCCTCAAGCAAATAATTTGCTGCATGCCCCTAAACTGTAGAGTTGACTTCTTTTTTAAACTACCGAAATCGTGTTCCATGTACAGTGGTTTTGAGAACAGAGGCTGTTTTGTGCTGGGCAGAAAAGAGCTGGCTTGAGATTAATTATGCTGTATATAAGACAGAACTTGTTCCCTGCCTCTTTTTTGTGGGGAAATAAAATGTTTTATGGGTGATTCAGTATTGAAGTTAAATTTATTTAATGATTGTCTTTGTGTTGCCATAGAACAAAAACAGAAAGTAGTGATAAATTGAAATGTATTGTTACATGGAAAGGTGCGTAGAATTGTAAATATTCACTTAATATACATAATGTTTTGTGCCATGGTTTGGCCTTGCTAAGGTTTGTTGAATAACATGGAGGGCACTGAATTAGGTACATATTCAGCAGGAGCAGTAGATAAGTGTTTACTGGCTGAAGATCTGGTTTCAAATTGAAGATACGTTTTTTGTTTGAATTGGCTTCCTACGTCTTACTTGTATGTGTTCATTAGTGCTCCTTTTCAATTAGTATGTTTCACTTTTACAGCCTCCACCCAGCGGTGGGAAACCGAAGGACAAACTGAATGATTCTCTTAAAGCGTGCAATGAAATCCTAAAGGAGCTCTTCTCCAAAAAACATTCGGTTAGTATTCATTTCTCTGTGTGTGTTTATGTTTTGAATGGTGGCTGAGCTACTGTTTCTCCTTCCCTTATTTGTGTTTGTATGAGTGATACTTTATATGGCACCAACTCCTTATGGATGTTGTGCATCAGCAGGAAGTGATCATTGGGTAGTGTTAAGAGTTGCCAGGTGATGATTGGTTTATCCTTACAAGCTGTGTTTACTACTCTGTTTGTGAACCAAACTGGGTAATGTTTCAGGTATATATTGTATTTTTTGTTGAAGGAAACAGTTTGTTTCCTATTCTTAGTTTCTTTGTTACAGATTTGTAAGCTTGTATTGGATATGTAGGTGTTGGCACCTGTCACTTTATGGTGTGCTGCAGACATGAGATCTGCTCTTGAATGTTAATTGTTTGCAGTAGCTTTCTTTTATATTGTCATACACTTGTTTAGGGTTATGCGTGGCCCTTCTATAAGCCAGTGGATGCAGATCTCCTGGGACTGCATGATTATCATGACATCATTAAGAAGCCCATGGATCTTGGAACAGTAAAGGTAGGTTTCTCTGTTTTGGTTTTGGTGCAGATTATTGTACTTGTATTGCTGAGATATTTGTTTAGAGGACTCCTTGTAATTATGTAATATCTTTAATCAGTGGCAGTGATGTTTGTGACTAGATGTAGGTAGTTTGAATTGCTATTCCTACTTATTGGAATTACATGGAGATTTTTAAACCTTTTGGAGAAAGTGATGTCAGGTTTGTATAATAAAATGGGGTGCAATGAGGGTTTGAGAAAGCTTTCATTGGGGTTGGAGCCCAACTAGGGACTGAGATTGCAACGTGTCCGTAGAATATTGGTGAAAATGATGGTCAGGGGAAACTGATGTACTCTGAGAAGTCGGTGATGGCTGCATGAGAATTGACATTACAGACTGTCTAGTATGTGCCCATCCATGTTGGTAACCTAGATTGGTGATCAGCGAACATAATCTGTTTGTCCTCTTTGTTCCATACGTTGCGTGAACTGTGAAGCCTTTTTGTTAAAGAGACGGGGGCTCCATTGGTTCCCATTCAGACCTGGTGGTCACAATTGTGTACATTAATTTTATATAGTCATAGTACATCACACTAATTTTGTTGGCATTAAATTTGATTGTACACAATTGTGCAAATTTCTTTTCATCTCTGTCAAGGCTGTGCTGCCATTTTATGGCTAAATTGTAAACTACTTACTGCTTATGAAATTTGTGCTGCTGGGTTCTTCAGAAGTCATGGCTGCTTGTGTTTACAGAGTTTGCTAGCGAAATCTCTTTTAATTGTTTTTGCCTTTATTTTGTGATTTATCTTTTGTTGTGAGTTTGTAGAAAGTGGTCATTGTGTTGTCAAGAATTTGAAGTCATTAACTGTTATATTTTTTCTTTCTGAATTTAATGTGCACAATTATGTCCAACAGGATCCACGTGGTGTGGTGTGCCTAGAAACATAACCTCACTAAAACCTGACGTTTTTGAACATTCTCTTGTGTTTTCATGACGTTTGATTGTTTTTTGTGTACTGTCATTTCTATTTGATATTTTTTTTAATGCTAGTGGGTGGGACTAAGTCCGTTGTACTGTGGCCTATTCTGGCCTATTGTACCAGCTCCAGATGATAGGTGAGGGTGATTGTGGAGCAATTGATGGAATGAAGATTGGCAGGGGAAACCGAAGTGCTCGGAGAAAACCTGCCCCAGCGCCACTTTGTCCACCACAAATCCCACATGACCAGACCTGGGATTGAACCTGGGCCGTCGCGGTGGGAAGCCAGCAACTAACTGCTTGAGCTATGGCGTGGCCCTTGTGTTTGATAAGTGCCATTTCTAATTGATTTTGATGAACTATGGATAAGGTTAAAGCTAAGCCTAGTACAAGTAAACAATATAGATCTAAGCCTAATGAAAACATACAATATCTTCACGTGAAACAAGATTGACTTCTATTTTCTGCACATAGCCGGTTGTAAAAGTGAGTTGCATTGTGAACCATATGGTAATCAGTGTTAGGTCTGTCTGCTTATTTATAAAAGAAATGTATGAATTGAAAACTCTTTTCCTTATGTGGCCAAATGTAGTATGTTAGTCATAAAATTACACAAGTATCTGTAAAATGAAAGTTAATTGTAATAGAAAATCTAATTACAAATGCACTTTTTACTTTCTTCCTCATCTCATCTCATTCAGAGTTCTGAGTGATTTCTTGTTTGTTTGAACATAATGAAGTGGCTTACAAATTTTCACAACCTTCCTGCATTACTAGATAGTTGACTACACTAGAGTCCTGTTGTACACAATTTTGTACATTAATTATCTAAAAAACTAGGGATAATAAAGAAAATCAAAAAGTCGTCAGAAAGCACCTATGAATCCAAAAATCAAAACAGATTTTTTTCCTAAATAAGAAAAATTCAGGTGTGAATGGATTAATTAGTAATTTACTGCATCCTTGATTGTTGCTGGCCAGTTAAGAATACTGGCAGAAAGTCTAGAGTGGGGTAATTAATGTACAAGTTAGAAACATGATGAGCATTGTGTGTTCATAAAGTAGTAACTGTTTTGCAGCAAAAGATGGACAGCCGGGAGTACAAGACAGCTGGCGAGTTTGCTGCAGATGTGCGGTTAATATTCACTAACTGTTACAAGTACAACCCTCCTGATCATGATGTCGTGGCCATGGCACGAAAGTTGCAGGATGTATTCGAGATGAGGTCAGTACTGAACAGCTACTAAAATATGCATCATATTATTTGGAAGTTATTAGTAGGTTCACATTGGAGTATAAATTCAGGCTTAGAAGTAATAACACCCCCTATTGAGATACATGGTGGCAAATGAGGTGTGAAAGTTAATTCAGAACAATCTCTTTCCAACATATGGTGATTACAGTAGCCCTGCCATTTGTGGTATTGCCATATATCCTGATACCCAGAACTTCTTATGAGGTTACTTTTAATTTTGATATCAGTAACAAATCGCTAAATTTGAATCAGGTAGCTGGGTAAGCAGCAAAATTTCTCAGATTTTAATAGTGTAAGTTTTTGGGATGTAATTTCATGTAGTTTGCTGTGTGGTTACATTTTGTTGGAGCTGTTTCAAAGAAATAGCAGCTCCGGTCTAGAAAACCGAAATTAACGGCCGCGGGGATTCATTGCGCTGACTGCGTGACATCCTCTATCCTCTAAAAGTTGGCACTAACTTCACTGGCAAGCAGTGGTCGCTTGGTCGGTATAGCTTGCTAGCAGACTAAAACCACAATTTTTTTTGTGTCTATGTTCAGCATGCCATGGTGATGTCCTCTTGAGTGAAGAAGAAAGTTTCATGTATTGCCCTGAAGAGAGTTGAAGTAATTTGGGAATGTAGGAAAGTACAGAACAAGAACTTTATTGATAGAATGTTGCTAGAGCAGTGAAATAGGAATATTGTGATGTGCTAAATGGCAAGAGAAGAAATGCATGCAGAATTTTCGCAGTTAGACCTGTTGGAAAAAAAGGCTTAATGAGAGACAGGATGAGGTGATGCAAGACCTGTAGGTTCCATTGTCATATTGAATATATATGGACAAATACCATCTTAAGTGCAACAATTTTATTGTAGTTTTTGCTTCTTTTTCCTCCACACTACATGTTTCGGCCCTAAATGGCCATCATCAGGTGTGTATCACTCACGTAGCTGTTACACTGCTTGTTAAAATTTAAAATCACCAGTCTTTCTAATTGTATAAAATCTTTGTTAATCTACACGCGTCGATTTGATTTTTAAATTAGCACTTTTTAAAACTTTAATTCAAGTTAAAATGTCTATAAGATCTCTGTTCTTTCTTTTTCAAAATTTTTAAATTTAAATTTAAAATTTATAGGTCTTTCGTTTTTTTCTTCTTTATACACTACATGTTTCGGNCCCACTACCCATTCCCCCTCCAACACTCACGAACATGAAACACAGCACACAGTACACCAGACAGCAAACATATTAAAGATAAGCAGCGACACACACAGAGAGCGCCTACACTGAGTAAGTACAAATAACAGTATAAACATATAAGAATAACATAACATGACATAACATAAGATAGTAACACGAATATTTGTATATTACAGACAACACATGAACAGCGATAAAAACAAGAAGTGGCCGCTGCAGCACCGTAGATATAGGGCATGTACCCTGAATACATTTTAATTAAAAAATTTTGAAAAAGAAAGAACAGAGATCTTATAGACATTTTAACTTGAATTAAAGTTTTAAAAAGTGCTAATTTAAAAATCAAATCGACGCGTGTAGATTAACAAAGATTTTATACAATTAGAAAGACTGGTGATTTTAAATTTTAACAAGCAGTGTAACAGCTACGTGAGTGATACACACCTGATGATGGCCATTTAGGGCCGAAACATGTAGTGTGGAGGAAAAAGAAGCAAAAACTACAATAAAATTGTTGCACTTAAGACGGTATTTGTCCATATATATTGTGTGAGTGTAACAGGATGCTGAAATATAATATTGTCATATTGAATGTATGTACCATAAAAACTTGTCGATGCTGTTCAGAGTTGGGCATGTGGAAAGATATGGCTGTTGAGTACAAGTTTGATACTTGTTTGTATATGGAGCTGGAGGCTGTGTGGTGAAATTGCTTGTGAAAGGTTTTTGTGATCTTGAGTAGGTATGCAAAAATACCCGATGAGCCTCTTGGTGGTGCTGTGGGTCTGGAGAAGTCCAGCACGTCTAGTACGTCAGGGTCAGAGTCGAGTACAAGTTCTGACTCTGAGTCAGACGATTCTGAAGCGGAGCGTGTGCGGAAACTAGCTCTTCTTCAGGAACAGGTAAAGCTGGAACATATGCATATGTAAGCTAGATCTTCTTTTGTTTAGTTACTGAACTGCACTGCAGCTCAGCTATATTACCAATATGACAGGTTTTTGCGGGGGCATACGGTAGTGTTGTTGGTTGAGGCACTATGCTACAATGCAGAAGGTTGTGGGAATGAATCCCAACAAGGTCATTGGTTTTTTTTTTTTTCAATTTACTCAATCCTTCGAGCCGCACTGTGGCTCTGGGGTGGACTCAGCCTCTAACAGAAATGAGTACCAGGAATATTCTTGGGGGTAAAGGGTGGCTGGCGTGTAATGCTGACAACCTTGCTGCCATCTGTGAACTGATTGTCTAGAAAATGTGGGAACCGCAACGTCTCAAAATCCTATGGGCCTTCACAGCCTGATACAGGGATACCTTTACTTTTTATGACAGGATTTGCAACCATAGTCATGAATTAGAGCTTTCCCAGATCTGTATAATGATGAGGATAAGCATCAAACATAGTACTTGAGGCATGGTGTGGCATAGCTGGCTGAGGCACTATGGTACAAGCCAGAAGGTTGCGGGTTCGATTTCCAATGAGGTCCTCTGGATTTGTGAATCGACGTAATCCTTCTAGCCTCATTATGGCCCTGGGATCAGTGCAGCCTCTAACAGAAATGAGTACCAGGGATCTTCCTGGGATTAAAGGGCGGCTGGCGGGTAAGGCTGACAACCTCACCATTATCTTTTAGCAGTTTGTTTAAAAAATGTGGGAGCCTTAATGTCTTGTAACCCTTCGGGCCTCCAGGGTCTGTTACAGGGATAGCTTTTTACCTTTTGTCAAAATAGTACTACATGAGCACAGGAATGACCATGTGTATTTAACATGTTTGGTGAACAGCAATACTTGCATAGCTGAGACAGATCCTTGTCACCCTAGGATTTACTGATCCATTGTAGCATTGCCTTAGGAGGAGAAAGAGAAAGCAAAAACTAAATAGCGTTTTAATCACAAAGAAATTGTCACAGGGAACCACAGTGGTAATATAGAAATGTGTTCCCAGAATGTCTTGCCTGGAAAGGTGTAATGTGACATAGATCAGACAATCACAAATATTTGACTATGGGATATGGTATAGTTATGTCATCTGAGCATATTTTATGAAGGGGCTAGGTAAGCAGCCCATGTAGTAAGACATTTCTTTTGCTTTTGGCTGTCCGCACTAGTAGGTGGGTGCTCTTGTGTGCACGTTGAACTGAGAGACTTGGGGATGGTCTTTTAGTTCGGAGTTGTACATATATTTTTTATTCTCTCCCAGCTGAAGGCCATGCAGGATCAGATGAGGAAATTGGTAGAAGAGAGTACAGTGAAACGAGGCAAGAAGAAAAAGGAAGAAAAGGAGAAGAAGAAGAAGAAAAAGCCTGAGAAACATTTAAGTTCTGTGAAAGAAGTGCGTTCTTCAGTGGTGAATGACACTGTGGGTGCTAGCATTGCAAGTGTTGCGTTAGGAGCGGGGGATGTGAAGTTGCCAACGGAATTGCATCACAGTGTGAGTGCTAAGCAGTCAGGTGGTGCTCATCATGTGGCTCCAGCAGGTCCTCCTGCACCACCAGCTGCTGCTGCTGCTGTTGCTGCTGCAGCGGCTGCAACCACCACTGGTGCAAAGAACACTAAAAACAAAACTGCTCGAGGTGCTGGAAAAACAGCAGGGCCAAATGCACAGCCCAGACGGCCTAAAGCCAACTCGCGGTCAGCTGGTAGCAAGAAGAAGAATGCCGTTGTGCCCCCACCCATGCAGTTTGATTCAGAGGATGAGGACAATGCCAAGCCAATGTCATACGATGAGAAGAGGCAGCTCAGCCTTGATATTAACAAACTGCCAGGTAAAGTAACTGTACTTTTGTTTTAGAAACCATTCCAGCCATGCAATACTCATAACCTTTTTTGTGGTTTATTTAGCTATGCTTCCAGCACCAAAGCTGTGTACTGTCAGACAGCAGGTGGATGAATGATGACTTGGAAAGGGTTTGGAAGGAAGGGGTTGTGGCCTGATTGAGATATTTTTATGGCAATTTCTTTGAGGGACTGAGGAGAACCATGGGTCAGGATAGTTGGTATCCTGGTGGTGTTTGAACCAAGCTCCTCCTTCCAGATACAAGTCTAGAGTGTTTGTTTATCTGTAGAATGAACTGTATAGTGATCTTAATTGTGGCATACTTAGTACTTTGTAATTATTATTTTCTGCATTCATTACATTAACTCTTTGACTGGCGCGGGCGTGTTTTAACGCCCGGACGATGCCAGCCGTTTCCTGGCGTTGGCGTGTTTTAACGCTTTGACAATCTCTTCCCTTCTTTGCTCTCTTGGCACTCATCAACCAAAGACATATATATGATAGTTTTTGTGCATGTTTGTAAAGAACCCTTGTAAACTTTGTGGGGGTCTATATTACTGTCAGAACCCTCTGAGAAGGAAAAGGTCAGAAAATATTTCACATTCATTCAGTTTCACCATGGCTTCTTGCAGCAAGTGTCTTCGTGTTCCTACACACCAGCTGGAAAATGTTGTGAACGAGATTTGTTCTGATGATGATAGTGGCGATGAAATAATGATTCCTGAATTGGATGAAGTTGATAGTGACAATAATACAGTGATAGACAATGATCCACAAGACAGTAATCATGAACATTTACCTACCACGAGTGCGGTGCCTGACACGCCCATCTCATGAACGTACGGAGACATTGTACCCCCAATATTTCCATTTGCTAATAGTTTCGGGATCAAAATTGATATAACACATAAAATGCATCCCTTTTCATGGATTAAAATTTTTTCTGGATGACGACTTGGTAAATCACATCACAACTGAAACCAATCGCTATGCTCACCAGCACTTCAACACACATGAGTTAGCTCCTCACTCTCGAAAACACAATTACAATTATGTCACATCAGATGAAATCTGGACATACTTAGGAATTGTGTTCATGACAGGAATCGACAAACGCCCTGAAATTGAAGAATATTTGTCCACTAGGCCCCTATTTCACACCCATGGTATGGACAAAACATGTCTTTGCGGTTGAATAGTTTCATTCTATTCAAAAAGAACACAACAAACGAAAAATACAAGAAGAGAAATTACAGATTCAAAGATTTTATATTGGACTGTGTAGAAAAATGACTGAACCAAACAAAGAAGGTGGAGAGGTAGAAGAGTCAAGGAATGAAGTGGATGACAAATCTATTGCGTCAGACTCGAGTGCAGTCACGCCTCCGCCCTCGACCTTGAAAAGACCACCAGTGAAAGAGCCAGTAAATCGTCTAGAGGGTGGCTTGAAAATTCACAAAATGGTCCATGTTCCTCCCAGTAACAAGAAGAATGGTGCCCTGAGAAAGTGTCGTGTGAGTGCTAAGCACAAGATTAGAAAAGAAAGAAGTATCATGTGTGCAGGCTGTGGTGTGGCTCTCTGCAAACTTTCATGTTTCAATGTTTATCACACGAAGAAAAACTAATAAAGAGGTATGGAAAGGCATTTATTGCATAAAATATTGTATTTTAATTAGTTCCTGAAAATTTCGTTTTCAAAAACCAATTTTTGTTGAAGTTGTTTAGGAAAAAGTAACTACATGCAGTTTAGCGACATAAGGTTTAAAGGGCCTGCCAGGACAGGGGTGGGATTTAAATACCCTTCCCGCCAGTCAAAGAGTTAATGATGCCTTAGTAGTAATGGTTCACATGGTACAGTTACGTGAATGGGCAGAACAACATGATGCAGATGGTGAAAGTAATTCAGTCCAATATCACTGTAGAAAAACTGTTGAAGACATTGGAGTTAATGTCTGCTGATGTGAGAGGTTTGTGTTTTTAAAAAACCTTAAACCTTTCAGTTGGGGAGTAGGAATCTTCTGCTTTGATGGATGACTTAAAATTCACTTTTGATACACTATGCAATGTACATTGTTATTGGAAATAACAGTATAAATATAAGTAAATAAATCGGTGACATGACTATTGAGTCTGGTGCTGTCACCATCTTCTGAGAAACTTACATACAAAAGGTGTCACATAGCCCAGAGAAATATGCAACACTGTAAGGTATGGAGAAAGATAGTTTTCTTGGATATGCCAAGTGGTAAGAGAGAAGGAACTGCAGAAACGTTTTGGAAATACACTGAATTAGTTATGTTTAGTGGGGTGAGGGCTGTGAGACCTACTTACTAAACAAAAGTTAACATGTTTATCAGCTATGGCATAGATTATTGAAAGACTTCATCATTAACATAGTGTTTCTTTCCTCACAATGTTTAGTTTTCAGTGACATTTACTGAGCTGAAGCTAAATTTAAATAAGAAATTCAGAGGCAGCTGTTAACCTTTAACGTGCAGACTTTTAAATTGCCGGGAGCCCTTTGCCGCCGGTATTTAAATCGCCCTAATTAATTAACATTGCAAACTTCCAGAAAAAAATACATATTTTCCGTTCTATGCAACATAGAAATACAAACTAAAAACAGTCTGAAAGACAATAACATTTTCTACATATACTCAAAAGTGCAATTATTACAAACGAAAATTAACTGTGATTACTTTGTCATGAAATGCAAAATATAGTCTTTATTATATATGTTATGAAATTCCAAAGGACTTACCCGTTGTTTTTTCTTCAACCTTGAATCATGGTGATATTGTAATGTAGTCACACTATATACAATAATATTTTGTTCAGACTGTACATGAGTTGGAACTGCGTCACTTCACAGTTTACAATACACTCTGATGCGCGTGGCACTTCGCACCTCACACAGAGTGACACCACCCTTTTTACAATAGAAGAGCGTGCTCCTGCTTTTCTTATTTAGTGAAAAACACGACAGCGTCTTTGTTTCCCTTTGTTTCGCCAGTGTTGTGAATGTTTCACCTCCAGTCAACTCAGTTGGGATCCCTGATAACTTTGGCCTTCCCCCGAGAAACGCCAGTGACCGTGATATTTGGCTTGTGCGATTGAAGAATCATCCTGGAGGAAGGGGGTTTCTAACAAAATCGAATAAATTACGTTGATTGACAAAGCGACGCACTCACCTGTTCGTAACACTCGTAAAATAGTGATGCAAAGTAATTATAATACTAGTTGAAAAGAGAGCCAGTCTGACACTGATACCGAAAGTTGCAGTGGCGAAGATGCCTTTTACTCACAAAGTAATACTGGCTCAGTGGGTTTATACCTCTTCCAAGATGCAAAATAAAAATGATATATAAAAAATATATGACAGTCTGACACTGACTTCCTAACTGATAAAGAAATATTAAACAATCCAACACTGACTTCCTAACTGATAATTTGTCACTGAAAACCAATCCTTGCGTGCGTCACACTTCCTTGAAGGCTCTGGAAGCACTCACATGCTAGCACAGACTCGAAACAAAACTGGGCTATATTTGGCTGACCAGGTCATAAACAGTCATATCTAAACATAAATAATATCGAAACCAGTACCGTGATACGATTTCTTTTTTTCAGATCTAAGGAATGAACCACTTACATGACCTCATGGAGGTTTGTTTTGGTTTCAAACCCAAGGTCAAACTGTCAGAACTCCCAAACAGTGCACGTGTCCTGCGTCATATACAGGCTGTCCCAGGAGGAATGTGCCAAACTTTGGGATGGTGTTCCTTATGTTAAAGTATGCTCATATAACCCAAAACACCTATGTCCAAAGTTGAACGGTTACAGAGATAAGGGCCAGAGAAGTGTGAAACTTTGACCGCTGTTACACACTTGTTGATTACAAAATACATATTAAAACTGGCAGGAATATATGGTTTCTGTAATGTTAATAATGTACGTAACATCAAACTAACTTGTGAGTGACATGAAGCTATAAAATTGAAGTACAAAATACTCGCTGGCCATGTCATAATTGTCCTTAGGTTTCCAAGCACTATGCAGGGTGTCCCAGGAGGAATGGACCAAACTTCGGGAGGGTGTTCCTTATGTTAAAGTATGCCGATATAACCCAAAACACCTATGTCCAAAGTTGAACGGTTACGGAGATAATGGCCCGAGAAAAGTGTGGTCTTCTTGCAGGTCCACGCACTGTGGACAGTCAGCTGTGACTGTTATCTGTTTGTACTTGAGTGTGGTGATGTCACACTAGCCGTGATCTCA